TTTTCATGTCATTAGTTAAGCAAAAAAAGAATTGATTTGCTGGCATTTTAACGTGCCACTTGTCATTTAACTGACGGAAGGACTATTTTGGTACCGAAAATGAAAGTTTAAGGATAAATTTGGTACTTTTTAAAGGTGAGGGACAATTTTGGTGCCAAAGTGAAAAGTTGAGGGACCAAAATGGTACTTAAACCAATTATTTTTAAACACATAATATGGGTGTCGACACCATGGGTTAATAGTCTAGAATCAAATTTTCAATTTCTTATTTTGTGTCGTTACGTAATTCAGAGTATCGGCATTATACGTTCAGCGTCGAACATTCAAGTTTCTTATTCTGTTTCAAATCATACTTCTATTTCAATTAGGGTTTCTAAAACCTTATAAATACCCATCCAAATTTAGAATTAAAAGAGCTTGGGAGGCTGTTGGCAGCCCTCTTTTGGGTATTCTTGGAGATCAAGATAAAGATTTAAGAATTTGTTTATAATTTTTAAATCTTTTCAATTTTTACAATTGTAAAATGGTATAAGAATTTGTTTATAATTTGTACTTTTTTTAATTATGTTTCTGTTTATTTGGATATTAACGTATTTTATATTTATATTTTTTACTTAATGTTAAATTTATTTACATTATCTCATATATTTAATAGTATTAAAAACCGATCAATCCGACCAAACCACACCGATCCGATTTAAATTGAATTGGTTTGGTTATCATATAATAGTGGATTGAATTGGTTTAAAAATTTTACTAACCGATTAAATTGAATTAAATTAAAAAATATTAAAATCCGAACCAAACCACCCCACGAACACCCTTACTTATAGCCATGAGACTAACAAACCCAACAAGCTGCCCAGGTGTGGTCACCAATGCATTGTTTAGCTTGTTGAAAAACTGAAGTCTTTAATTTATGATGATAACACGTTCTCAACCAGTTGTGTTTCACTGCACAGGGCAGCTATATAAACAGTTTTTCTTTTTTGAGAAAAGCAGCTATAAACGCTCTCTATGGCTGTAAATCTCTCTGGAGTTTGAGGATCGATTCGATAAATGTGTTGGACATTATTTGATTTAGGGTTCAAGAATTTCATCAATTTTACCGGGTTTTGTCCTCCTTTTTTTTACATAGTTTTCTTTCTTCAAAGATTTCTTAGAAATTTCCCAAAATTTTCAATTTATTTTTTTGGAGAAATTTCCATTGTTGAAGAAAGTAGATTGAGATTTAAAGTGAAAATGCTGTTTAGTTTTGCTGTAAAAGCAAGGAATTTGAGAACTAGGGCATTCTTCCCTTTGACGGTCGGAGTGATGGGGTCTCAGAGGCTCCTTTCGAACTCAGCCGTGTCGGCTTCATCATCTGTTGAGGGAATGACAGATAAGAAGCTCAAGGGATTAGCTACTGCAGATTTAAATTCCGATGAGGGTGAAGTTAAGGTTGTTGATTGCTTTGGTTATTTCCACTGACCTGACTGTTGATTTTTATATGCTTTGTACTTTAAGGATGTTGTGTGGTTTTAACTGTTTCAGGTGTAGGTGGGTTGTAGGGGAATGGTGGGAAAGCTAAAGGGGTTGAGCAGCGCAAGAATGATAATAAAGAACAAGGTACCAACGAGGGTTGGATGAAGTGGTAAGCAGCTTGTTCCAGATTAAGTAAGAGTTTGAGACCTTATGTACGCAGCAGCCCCGCTGGGAGACTGACCCATCATTTTCAGGTGCGCGACGCGGGTCGGGTCCAGATTAGTCGGGGTAAAGCCTCGGATATCGGGCGGGAAACCAAAAAAAAAAAAAAAGAACAAGATTTCGTGGGTACCAATCAAAATTCCAAAGAGGGTGTTTTTAAGGCTGTGGATGATATCACTTATAATTGCCATATCAAAAATTTTCTGCTTTCATGCTTTTATAAGAATGTGGTTTAAATGTAGTGTGTGTGAAATTCAGGAGATCATGAATGAACCTGGCAGAATCAACGCAATGATGGTTCAACAACTCAAGGCTGCATTGCAGTATGTACAAATTTTGAGGATAAACATAAAAAGAGATCTATGGATTCTGTTTTAGGTGTTTGTGTTCTCATATCGTTAGTTTTTAGCTTTAATGTATCATTTCATAAACACAAGTAGGGCACTGTGCACATATCCTAAATTCTTTAAGGCCATTGATGATAAAGAGAATAAACCACAAAGAAGCTGTTCAATAAAACATTATGCATGTAACTGCTTTAACTAGTTGGACTAGTTCCTTGTTTGTCGTTCAGTGCTTTTATTCTCAAGGATTGTTTTTGTCCATATGAATTTGATTTTGATATTATGATTTTAAATTCTCAGGAATGCTGGCCTCCCTGCCAAAGGTTGCAAGAGTGACCTTGTATCTGCCTTGAACAGTTATTTGGATAAGCAATTAGATGGTATTGCAAATTTAATTTTGAGATCAAGTTTATTATTTCTTTCAGTGTTCTATTAAGCTTTTGCTCTTAGCTGCTAATGGAGAAAGATAAGAAAATCAACTTTAATAATTGAAATGATTGCTACCAGTCTTCTGATTTCTTTCTTCTCTTTCTTGTTCCTGAGAACCTGTTTGAGTTCAATGGTAAGTTGCTCATTTCCTAAGAATGGATATCCTTTGAATATGTAGGTGAAAGTTCTCATTTGGGAGATGAACAACTTTCCTCCATTTCTGCTCAAAGCATCTCAGTGACAGGAAAGACCAAGACATTATCAGGTGAACTTGATGCTAAAATTGTCATGAAATGGAAGAAGCCTTCAATCAAGGCTAATGTTTCAGGTGCCTTAAGTGTCTTTATTGCAACAATAGTATGCTCATTTTCTATCACTAATAATTTAGGAACTTTCTTCTTTCCCTTGAAATGTGGTTGAGGTTATCAGCTTGAGGGGTTTAATTTTTTTAATAATTAAATTAAGATGGCTTATTTTGGTAAGTGTTGGTAGAAAAGAGGCCTTCTCAAGCAATCAGGAAAGCATCTTTTGTTATTGATGACAAAGACCCTAATGATGGGGTTAACGTTCCAACGAGACAAAGTGAACCATGGACAATTTTTGCCCACAAGAAGCCTTAGAAAGGGTGGATAGCCTATAATCCTTGAATCATGAAGCCTCTACTGCTTATGGGAGATACTAAATGTATGAAGATAATGTCTTGGAATGTGAATGGGCTGAGAGCGCTGCTGAAGTTAGAGGGTTCTCTGCTCTTGCGCTTGCTAAAGGGAAAACTTTGATGTATTGTGCTTACAGGAAACTAAACTGCAGGCAAGATATAATATATCAATAGCATGTTAGCTTTTTGTTTCTTAAATTTAACCATGGCATTTGTTTTTAATTTGGTTTAAATAAAGTGATATTTTCTATTCAGCTTTTAATTATTTGTCTTATTTGAAAGGTGAAGCATGGTCTTAGACTCTTAGCAGTCACATTGAGGTATGATTTATGACAAATCCCATATCAGTAGGGAAGTGAAATTATATTTTCCTTTTGACCTCACAAAACTAAGCACCAAAATTTTTCTCTTTTACTGGCCCAGCACATGATTGTATTTGGATGCATATAGTAGTGAATTTGTCTTTAGATACTATACATGTGCGCACCTGCAAGTGGGTGCATGTGTGTGTGGATATGATTCGTAAAAAGATAGTAAGCATTTTAGGGTTGCCATTTTTATCTATATATATATTGAGTGAATTTTTTAATCTTGAAACAGGAGAAAGATGTTAAGTCAATCAAACACTCTCTTTTAGAGGGATATGAGAATAGCTTCTGGACATGCAGTGTTTCCAAACTTGGCTATTCTGGTACAGTAATTATATCCTGGGGATGCACATTCTTTTTAGGAGAATTTGAGTATCTTTTGATCCTTTGATACGATAGATTTGCTTGTTCTTATTGTTTTATTAAATATTAGAAGTTGTCAACAGATAAAGCTGCTTTCAGTCAGATATGGCCTGGGCATATCAGATCATGATACTGAAGATCGTCTGGTG